GATCCCGAGTGTGCACCGACGCACTGCTTCTCCAGCCACGCTGAGGCCACGTCCCACATACAGCAACTAGAAGGATGTGCAACTATGACATACAACTATCTACTGGGGCTTTGGGGGGAAAAAATAAATTAAAAAAAAAAAAAAAGAAAGCACTGGGAGCGTGGGCCACGCCTTCTGCGGCCTCAGCCCCTCCCCCTTGCTGCCTGCAGGGGAGTCCTCCTGGCACCCCGTGAGCTCAGGCATCCCCGACTGTTACTACAACGTGACCCACCTACCGATCGGCGTGACCGTGAGGTTCCGTGTGGCCTGTGCCAACCGTGCCGGGCAAGGGCCTTTCAGCAATCCTTCTGAGAAGGTCTTTGTCAGGGGCACGAAAGGTCAGTGGGATGGAGTGGAGGGTGGCCAGAGAAGGAAGGGCACCCTGAGCCCAGGGTCTTGCCCCTCCTTGGCGCACCACTGTTTTGCCGCCCAGCCACCATGGTGATGATTTTCTTTGTCTCCACTTAGATTCCTCAGCTCCGCCATCTGCTGCTCACCGAGAAGCCCCTGTTACCTCAGGGCCAGCCAGGGCCCCGCCTCCTGACTCTCCTACCTCACTGGCCCTGTCCCCAGCCCCCGCCCCAGCTCCTGCTCCCGCAGCCCCCCAGTCAGCCACTCCCAGCCCCTCGTCTCTCCCAACACCACCCAGTAAGGCCTTGTCCTCACTCAAGGCTGCAGGTCCACCGCCCCAAACCCCCCCACGAAAGCACAGGGGCCTGCAGGCTGCCCCACAAGCAGAGCCCACCCCACCCAGTGCCCAGGTCGCCCCAAGTGAGCCCAAGTCTTCCGTCCCTGACACTGGGACCCCAACCCCAGCCTCCACCCCTCAAGGGGTTAAACCAGCGTCTTCCTCGACTCCCGTGTATATGGTGACCTCCTTTGTGTCTGCACCACCAGCCCCCGAGCCCCCAGCGCCTGAGCCCCCTCCCGAGCCCACTAAGGTGACTGTGCGGAGCCTCAGCCCGGCCAAGGAAGTGGTCCGCTCTCCCCGGCCGGAGGGCACCACTCTTCGGCAGGGCCCCCCTCAGAAACCCTACACCTTCCTGGAGGAGAAGGCCAGGCAAGTGGGGGCCGGGGGAAGGAAGCGGGACAGAGCAGGGAGTGGGTGGAAGCTTGGGAACACAGGGATCCAGAGAGAAGTCCAGAGCACCCTGGCCCGGGTCGGGGAGGTGCTGAGACCTGGGTGCTGATCCCATTTAATCTTCACAACTCTGAGAGGGAGACACTGCATTATCATCATCCCCCATTTCACAGATGGGAAAACTGAGGTTAGAGAGGTTATGGGATTTGCCTAAGGTACAGAGCCAGTGAGTGGCAGAGCTGGGACTTGAACTCAGGCTCCTAGGATTGAACTCCAGAGCCCACACTTGGAACCCCTGCATTGTTGCCCCCAGGGTCCCTGCTCCTCCCCAGTTAGCCCTCACAATGGAGGTGTCCCCTTTTGTCCTCTGAGCCTGTGGTGTCCCCCCGACGCACAGGGGCCGCTTCGGTGTAGTGCGTGCCTGCCGGGAGAACGCCACTGGGCGGACGTTTGTGGCCAAGATCGTGCCCTACGCAGCTGAGGGCAAGCGGCGGGTCCTACAGGAGTATGAAGTGCTGCGGACGCTGCACCACGAGCGCCTCATGTCCCTGCACGAGGCCTACATCACCCCCCGTTACCTCGTGCTCATCGCTGAGAGCTGTGGCAACCGGGAGCTCCTCTGTGGGCTCAGCGACAGGTAGCCAGACATTCCGGAGGGACGGGGAATGGAGTGGGGGGAGCTGGGCTGGGATATCACCTGTGTCCCCCGGGCCCCCCAGGTTCCGGTATTCGGAGGACGACGTGGCCACGTACGTGGTGCAGCTGCTACAGGGCCTGGACTACCTCCACGGCCGCCACGTCCTGCACCTGGACATCAAGCCGGACAACCTGCTGCTGGCCCCAGACAATGCCCTCAAGATCGTGGACTTCGGCAGTGCGCAGCCGTACAACCCCCAGGCCCTGCGGCCGCTTGGCCACCGCACGGGCACGCTGGAGTTCATGGGTGAGGGCACCATGCCAGCCAGGGTGGGGGTTGCGGTCCTGCCAAAGGGGCAGCAGCCAGGGCTCATGCCACTTCACCTGCCTGTGTGCCATTTATTGAGTGCTTACTGTATGCAAGCAATGAACTAAGTCCCCTCCGTGGATTTTTTTCAGTTTATCTTTACAATAGCCCTGGAGATTGGCATAATATTACCCCCATTTTACATACGAGGAAACAGAGGCATAGTGAGGCTAAGAATTTGTCCAACATCAGAGTTATAAACGGCAAAGCCAGGATTTGGTAAAGCTGGAAAGACAGGAGAATCAATTATTAATTTATATAAATAAGGAAAACCAGCTCCCATTTAGCTACCTGCTAAATGTTTTATGTTCATTATCCCTATTCCGTAGAGTTATTCTGCAAGCTACGCTTTACAGATGAGGAAATGGAGAGCCAAACACGTTTAGTACATTGCCCGGGGCCCCGTGGCTGGAAGGGGCAGCCTGGGATTAGAGCCAGCCTGGCTGATTGCAAAGGCTCTTCATCTTGGCATTGGCCACACTCTGTGAATGGGCGCCCTCCCTCAGAGCTCATCCGAGGGAGCTAGTGACCCTGGTTCTCCACTCCTCTGCAGTTCTGGGGAACCCCCATTTAGTGCCTAGGCTCGTTCCTCAGGTGCCCCACATATCCCCTGGGAGCCACCCCCACTCCCGTCCTGCCTGCTGGTGTCTAGGGCCTGCTGCTCTGGTCATAGCCATGGTCTGGTGATTTGGACATTGTCCGGCTCCTTAAGCCCCCAGGGGCCTCCCCTCCTCTCCCCCCCCCCCTGCCACAGGGAAGCTGGTTCATCTTGGCCT